ACACATAAATAAATGTAGTAACAATTTTTAAATTACATACTTAAGTTTAGCCAAAGCAAACTATAGTCCTTTCTGATAGGACAGTCACTCTAGATTCTAAGGCAGCCGGGTCCGGGAGGGAGAGGGGTTGGTGTTCTAACGCCACAGGATTCTTGATGCTGAAGCCCAACTTCAGCTCCTCCTCTCTCATTAGAGAGAGCTTGAGAATGTTCAACTGTAGAGCTGGATCAAGGATGGCAGAGGGAGGGGCCTAAGTGCTACAACTCAGCATCACCAAAAACACTGTCAGAAACTCAGACTCGCAGGTCCAGTTTCTGAATACTGAGACTCAGAACCTGCATGTTACCATGGTCTTGTGATTCAAATGTAAATTAAAGTTTCAGGTACACAGCTTGGTAGAATTCCCACATTCCATCCTTTCAGATATTAACTAATAATTTCCCTTTTAAAAAACACTTCTTTGCAACTTGAAGAAACTTATATTTATTTTTAGTCAAAAGAAAAAATTTCAGTATACAATTTCCTCATTCATGATTTGTGTTACTTTGTTTTGTTTTTCTGAGGTACACTTCATGTCAGGGCTTCATCCCCCTGCCTCCATGTCTGCAGTTCGGGGATTACCTGGGCCACCCCTTCAGGCTGGGCTCCCCTTCGTAGTCACAGGCAGTCCCAAACAACAGACAGTAGTAGAGGCCTGCCCTCTAGTGGCAGCTCTTTGGGTGCACAGCCCCAGAGTCTCCTCAGCTAATCTAAAAGAGTACCAGATTTTATTTTTTTTTACTTGATTGCTTTCTCAAACACTAAGTTTTCTTCGAATTGTTAATTCTCAGTAACTTTCAAATTAAAAGAATGACTCACTCTTGAGCGATTCCAGCGTGCACCAGGAGGATCCCGAGCCCGTTCCAGCCACACAGTCAGTTCCAACCAGTTTTAGCCTGTCCCAGCCAGTTCCAGTCTGGTCTACAAGAGACCTAGTCTCCAAAAATGCAAAACATACAAACAAACCAGAGAGTGGCACACTCCCTATGCAATGCTGTGCTACACAAGTTAATCACACTAGAGACCGGCGGGCGTGAGAAGTGAATTTCATTCAAATGAATAAAACTTGGGAATCACTTGTCTTCTTCCTGAGTGCTAACTAAACTGCTTGTTTTGTGTACCAAGCACAGGACACGTTCAACAACCAGCAGACTCCATCATTTCTACATTCTAGCCAACATATTGTCCAGTATTGGGGAGTGAGCACAGAGCAGTGAGCACACTGTCTACACTCCCTAAGGCAGTTTTGTTGATTTCTAGACAGGGTCTTGTCCAGTTCAGGCGGCTAGCCTTTGACTCAGAAGCTGACCTGGAACTAACTCCTGATCTTCCTGACTCCACCTCCTTCTGTTTCAAGTTGTAAAATGTTTTGTTCACAACCAAAGAAAAGTAAAGCATGTCAGAATGGCCTCATGCTTTGTTGAGCATTTTCAGTGTGGAACATAATTCAAGAGCTAAGAGAAGAACAGGTAGGCCTTGTTTTCCGCTGGTCCTAGCTATGCACAGGGGAAGAAATGCCTCGTTGCTCACCTTCCACTCAAAGCTGAGGTTCTTCAACCAAAGATAGAATCCCAGAAGAAAAACAGAAATATAATAATTTTACATGATGTCAGGGCTATCATGAGCAAATGAGGGCCAGAAGAAATCATTTCACTTGTGGATTTTTAACCCACACTGGATGAAAATGGGGGTTGTCACAGAGCTTCACCGGACAATAGGGTATGAACAGACAGTCCCATCAGGAGGCACTCAGCATGGGCTACTTGTCAGTCTCTCCGATAAACCTTTGCTCAAAGAGAAGACTATTTATTCCTCATCTCAGTATAGGAGCTGACCTCGAACAGGACAATGACGTGACCTGCAGGAGTCAGGATAACCTACCTGAGCAACGTTCATCAGTGTGTCAGAGGTTGTTTGCTCATTTGTTTGTTTCACTGCTGAGGAGAGAACTCAGGCCTCATAAATACTGAGCGTAACTATCAGTGAGCCACAGGCCCACCCCAAGAGCCTGTGTTTTAGAATGAGTAAGCCCTGAACCCCATCACATTACCCTGACAGTCCATTAGGAAATCCATCAAAAGTGTTGCACGGCATCAAAGAATGTGCTTATGTTAGGTTAACTTGGTCTAATTCAATCTACACAGCGTTGAGGACATAGCCTGAACCACACAGTGCTAGGAGAACAACCAACTGCTGTCCTCACAGCCAATGTCTGCACCCCAGATACGTAGGAAGTTTGTTTCATTGTTTCTTGTTTGTTTGAGCAGGGCCATACTCTCATCCAAAGCTAAGGAGAAACTCCCATCTACCATAGGCTACTCTTGAATTCATGATAATCCTCCTGCCTCAGCTTCCTGAATACCAAGAGTAGAGGCATGAGCCACCACACCTAACTAGATCCATAGAATTAGCAATTTGCTTCGGTGATTTGGTGAGAACAAACAAACTGAAAGCATTTAAACAGGTAATTTGGAGATTATGTCCCACAAAGATGTCAGACATTTTAAGAGTGTTCTTCAACTTGAAAGGCAAGGGGTGTGAGGAGGCACTGTGTGGGCAGCATTACCTCTCATATAAGTCCCCCCCCCACTCAACTGTGACCTTCAATAACCCAACACTCCTGTCACTCAGGCAAATGCATCTCTAACCTAATCAAGTGGTTTGTTTCATTACACAAACTATTACTTGCACATCACTAACAAAAATATTCTAAATTGGGGGCTGGAGCAATATAGCTCAGTGGTAAAGAACATTTGATGCTTTGGTTTGGGGTTGGTTTAGAGATTTATTTTATGAGTGTAAGTGTTTTGCCTGTACCCTTTTATGCCTGGTGCTACCAAGGGCCAGAAAAAGATTTCAGATTTCCTGGCACTATACTTATAAATGGTTATGAGCCACCATGTTGGGTTCTGTATAAAAGCAGCCAATGCTCCTAACCTCTGAGCCATGGCTCCAGCACCACTTCTTGCTCTTAAGGAGGACTCAAGTTCAGTTACCAACCCCATATGACAGCCCACAACTGTCCAGTTCCAGGCAATTTCACATCTTCTGGCATCCTCAAGCACCTACACGAAGGCGGTACACATAGACATACATGCACACACATACACACACGTGCACACACATACACACATACACACACATGCACACACATACACCATACACACACACATACATATATATACACATACATATACATGCACATACACACATATACAGAGAGAGAGAGAGAGAGAGAGAGAGAGAGAGAGAGAGAGAAATGAATTTTAAAAAAATGATCCTCTCCTGAAGATGTTTGCAACCCCATAGGAAGAACAACAATATCAACCACCCAGACCCTTGGTCCTGTGAAGGCTCAACACCCCAGTATAGGGGAATTTGAGGGCAGGGAGGTAGGAGTGGATGGGTGGGAGGGGGAATACCCTCACAGAAGCAGGGGAAGAGGGGAATGGGATAGGGAGTTTCCGAGGAGAAAACCGGGAAAGGGGATAGCATTTGAAATGTAAATTAAGATATCCAATAAAAAAGAAAGAAAAAGATGATCCTCCCAAAAGCTAAAATATCACAAAACTCCTAATCACAGTACTGCAGGTGATACATGCACATACATGCAAATACTACCACAAAACCATACATACATACATGCATACATACATACATACATACAAAATACATACATATATACAGACAGACAGGCAGGCAGGCAAACAGACAGACATTAAAAAGCAGCCATGCATACAGAGGACATGATATGTGTAGGCTAGACACAACCATTACCCACTCATTCAAGGAACTTGAGAATCTCCCAATGTCACATGTAGTGAGGAGATGACAGATTTCCCGGAATTTATCCTGAAGTCCCAAGATACCAAGCGCATCCAATTGATAAAGGTGACACCCTGGAAGAATCTGAGAGAGGTACCTCTCCTCTCTGGTTACTGCTGTTTATGCAGAGATCATGCTTTGAAGAGCAATATCATGTGTACATTTAAGTACTCCATCCCCAGGCTTTCTTGTCTTGAAAGAATCCATGGGCACTCTCAATCTGAGGGCAGGGGAGGCGGGTTCGTGGTCCACCTTCCTTTAGCATGTACAGCTGGGACTGTCACTAAGATCAAAACTTGATGCCGCCTTTGCAGTGGTGGCACTCATCTTTACTTCCAACAGTTGGGAGGCAGAGGCAGACTGTTCTCTGAGTTCAAGGCCAGCCTGGTCTTCAGGGCAAGTTCTTGGACAACCAAGGATACACAGAGAAACCTTGTCTCAGAAAACAAATTAAACAAACAAACATTCCATGCCACAGAAAGTGGCAGACACCCAGCTCTACCTTTAATTAGCTTATTAAGACAAACTTTGTAGAAAACAGTGTCTTAATTACTTCACTATTGCCATGACAAAACACCATGACCATGGCAACTTATAAAATAAAGCATTTAACTTGGGGCTCATAGTTTCAGAGGGTAAGTCAATGACTGTCATGACAGGGAATGTGGCAGCAGACGGGCAGGCCTAGCATGGGAGCCAAGAGCTTACATCTGATCCACAAGCAAAAGGCAGAGTGACAGCTGACAGAAATGGCATGGGATTTTGAAACCTCAAAGCCCACCCCAGTGCCACAGCTCTTCCAACAAGGCTACACCTCCTAATCTTCTCAAACAGTTCATCAACTGTGGACCAAGCATTCAAACATACAAGGCCGTGGGGCTATTCTCATTCAAACGACCACAGGTATTTAGAGAGAGTGCTGAAGACCATAAAATAATGCAAGGCATGTGACTATCAAACATTTCCATTTTTAAAGTATAAATTTTAATTATTTTAACTATCTAAATATAGAATTTTTACTAAAAATACTTACTTAATGATTTAAGATTCACACCACATAATATTCCATTGAAATATGATGAAAGGATGTAAATCTGCCACTAGAAATATCATGTGTATGACTCAAAGCAAATTACCTTTTATGCCACCAAAGGGCCCGTAAGTCATATTGCAGGCCGTCCTCTGAAGATGGTGCTCATACATTAACTTTATCTGATATTGGTTTCCATGCTCCACATTACCCAGTGTCCCTATGGAGAAAAAACAAAGGGGCCACTTTAAATCTGCAATCTCTTCTCATCCTCTGTATCAGCCTTAATTCAATTACAGTAATATTAAAAATGACAAAGCAGCCGGGCGGTGGTGGCGCACGCCTTTAATCCCAGCACTTGGGAGGCAGAGGCAGGTGGATTTCTGAGAGTTTGAGGCTAGCCTGGTCTACAGAGTGAGTTCCAGGACAGCCAGGGCTACACAGAGAAACCCTGTAAGACAAAGCAATAAAAGAACAATTAATACACTGTCACAGAAAGGGCCAGCACAGTTAAAAAAAAAAACTTGAATCTCGGTTATATTGCACCATTAGAGAAATAATACCGTGAGGAGCCTTTTCTTATGTATTTCCATTAGACATTCCTTAGTGAGGCATAATTATTTAAATGACAACAAAGCTGTTTAATTTCAGTTCTAAAATAAACACCATTACATTTTCCATTATAAACGATATAACAGCACAGCAAACAAATGACAGCTTTAAAACAACTCATTTTCTTGTCCACATTATCAACCCCTTCAAATACTATATCCTGTAGCTAGGGATTGAACCCTACCACTGAGCTACATTGCCAGACCTTATATATGCCAGTCCTACAATGCCAGCCCTAATTAATGGAGAAATCTTCCAAACTTCCTTCAACAAGTGAACAGAACAATGTGCTCTATTTGAAACCTTGTAAGAAAAACGTCTTTCAAAACAAAAGGGTTCTCTCTCTTCCTCTCTACTCTACAGGCCACATATCCTACAATCATGTTCTAGTTCTTTCCAAAAGACTCTACCTATATCTACTTTCTGCTGCTGGGATTTCAAGTTTGTGTCTACTTGACATAAAACTAGGCAGCACACTGTGTCTTTTATTAAAGATCCTACAAATGGCTTGACCTTGGCTAAGAAAAGCACCATGACTGGAGAAGTACTTGATCATTCATGTTTGTTTGTGCTCTATTCACAGTCCGAAGTGGGATCAGCCTAGATGTCTATCAACAGATGAGTAGGTAAGAAAAGGTGTGCATATAACAATGAAATTTTATTCAGCTATAAAGAAAATTGAAAACGTACAATGAACAGCTACTGATGGTACAGAGAATTAGTAAGTGCTGAGAGATGAGCCCTTACAAGGCATTTATACCACTCCCTCTAAGACTCAAGGAACATCAAGGAAGAGAGAGTAGAAAGAATTTAAGGCCCAGATGATAGGAGGAAGGACTATATAATGCTATCTTCAGGAAATGACACCACCATTGTAATCATGATCTTACAGTGGCTGTGGTTGCCTGCACTGGTACCACATAGGATGGGACCTGTCAACAATCAGTCATGGGTCAGGGAGGGACTCATGAGTTCTTTACCTCCCTGATGAACAAATGGCTACTTCTGGTCAACTCTGGAGGTGGGGTAGTCATCGTCTTTCATTGTATAGACACTGGTGAGCATCTAAAGATAGTTCTAAACCCATGATTACTGGGCCAACTAGTTTTTATGTCAACCTGACACAAGCTAGTCATCTGAGAGGAGGAGAGTCAACCGAGAAAATTCCTACATAGATTCAGCTGTGGGAAAGCATGCCTTAAAGGACACTTTCTCAATTAGTGACTGATCACAGAGGGACACTTCAGGTAGGGACAGCACTGGTAGTCCTGAGTTCTATAAGAAAGCAGGCTGAACAAGCCATGAGGAGCAAGCCAGCAAGCAGTACTCTTCCATGGCCTCTGCATTAGCTCCTGCCTCTAAGTTTCTGCCCTTATTGCCTTTGATAATAATCTGTGATATAGAAAAGTAATATAAATAAACCTTTCCTCCTCAGTGTGCTTTTAGTTATGGTGTTTCATTACAGCAATAGAAACTCTGACTAAACAGTTACACAGAGGACACTGATTAAAGTCAGTGGGTCATAAAAGAAAAGCCACGCATGCGTGATGAGGAGGCTGAAAGAAATCAGAGGGAGATAAGAGAGGGCAGGAGAACATAGCCAGAATATATTATATACAAGCATGAAATTGTCCCAAAAAATTGATGATTAATAATGAAAATAATATAATAGATAATATATTGTGTTATAATTACTTATAAAATATAATAGAATATATTATGTTTTATAGTATAGTATAGTATAGTATAGTATAGTATAGTATAGTATAGTATAGTATAGTATAGTCTCAATAGAGACTCTAAAAGCCAAAAGGGCCTGAGCAGACTCTATGAGACCATGAATGTCAGCCCAAACTACTATATCCAGTAAAACTTGTACCCACCATAGATGGAGAAAACAAGATATTCTATGACAAAACCGAATTTAAATAATATTGATCCACAAATCCAGCCCTACAGAAGATACTAAAAGGAAAACTCCAACAAGGTGGCTAACTACGTGCAAGAAAACACAGGCAATAAATAACCCACACCAGCAAACCAAAGGAAGGAAAACACAGACACACATACACACCAACAACAACAGCAACAACAATGACAACAATAACAACAACAACCTCAAAATAACAGAAATTAACAATTGCTGTTAATATCATTAATATCTCTCAACATCAATGGGCTCAACTCCCCAATAAAAATATATAGACTAATAAAGTTGATGCAAAATCAGAACCCTTCATTCTGCTGCATACAAGAAACATGCCACAGCAATAACAATAGACATTACCTCAGAGTAAAGGGCTAGAAAAAGGTTGTCCAAGAAAATGGAACAAAGAAACAAGTTCTATAGGAACAGATATCTATAGAACCTTTCACCCAAACACAAAAGAATATACCTTTTTCTCAGTACCTCACAGAACTTTCTCCAAAACTAACCATATAGTCCGTCACAAACCAGCCTCAACAGATACAAGAAAATTGAAATAACTCCTTATATCTTATCAGACCACCATGGATTAAAGCTAGAATTCAACAACAGAAACAACAGAAAGCCTACAAACTTATAATATATTACATAACTTATTTTATATATTACATTATAATTATATTATTAATAGGGTATATAAATACATGATATCAATATTACATATAACAATATATAATAACTATCATCATCATTTTTATTATTATTATTGTTGTTGTTGTTGTTGTTGTAGAGGTAACCAGGGCATTATCTGGCTCAGAATAAACCATTTTCTTATTTCATTAAAGCAGAGTCAACATGTATAGACACATGTAAACACTGGCATGTATCTATAATCTCGGGTATTCCTCACAGAGCTGAGGCAGGAAAAGGCCTTGAGTCCAGAAGTTTAAAACAACTATGGGTAACACAGCAGGGAAGAGGAAAAGAAGGAGGAAGGAGAGCAAAGAAAGGGAGAGAGAAAAGGAAGGATGGGGCAGAGGCAGGGAGCGAGGGATAGACACAAGGATCAGAATGTGGTGGCAAAGAAGCAGCCACTCCCCTGGAGTGTACCAGAGCACTCCACTCTTTTGTATCTGGTCTTGAATCTCTAAAAATAGAGCTAGAACCTTCCTTTCAGGGAAAATAAATTAACCCCTTCTGAGTTGTTTGGTTGTTTGTCTGTTTGTTTGTCTGTTTGTTTTTCTGTAGCTGGAGCTGGTATTGAACTTGTTCATCTGGCCTCTGCCTTACAGGTGCTAGAATTACAGGCATGCACCATAAAAGTCAGCAGAGTGTCATGTATACAGAAAATTTCCATCTATAAAGGAGTGTCTCTCCTGTGCCAGGAAGAAGAGGACTCTTAACTCTTATAAAGGAGAAAGTCTGGGGGGAATCTGCATAACAAAGTTTCTTTAATCCTTTTTTAAGGCTTATTTATGCTGTCACTCCCTTCAGATCCACCAAGAGAGCACTGAAACCCATTACAGATGGTTGTGAGTCACTATGTGGGGCTGGGAATTGAACTCAGGACCTCTGGAAGAGCAGTCAGTGCTTTTAACCACTGAGCCATCTCTCCAGTCTGTTTCTTTAATATTTTAAATTGTTTTTATTTGTTGGGTGAGTGTACACCACATGTGTGAGAACTGAAATGGACATATTTTTTGTCACTGTTATGCCTATTCAGTGGCCCACGATATTTTCAACACACACTTCCTCTTTCCTTTGCTTCAGAACTGAACCCTGTATGGTCTCAGACCTACGGAAAACTAAGATCTGCATAGCAAATGGCATGACCACCTTCTTGGGTCAGACACACGGGATGCTCCCATGTCTATGTATTCAATGCACACATTAAAAAGCTTTTTCCCCTTGAGTTTTTAGCCAATTTGTCTTTGGCCAATCCAATGCACAAGGTCCTCACTTGAATGCTTTATGTAGATAGAGGGGAAGACCAGTTTCCTTCTCTACATCCTTCACCTCTCTCTGTCTGGCACAGTGCTAAATTAAAACTAAACCCGGCTGTTCACTGTGTCCAACACTGCTTCCCACAGTACTGCCCACCCCAAAGAAATAACCCACTGGCAATGGACTCGGGTTAGGATGTGTTGATCTAATATTAAAGTTGGCCTGAGGATAGCTCCTTGAATTCCTATGAAGCAAAGAACAATCCAATAGTATATCAACAAACTCTAATGTAGTAATGTAGGAGTAGCCTCTTCCAATCACAGCAGCCAAAGACAGCCCAAAGGTGGGACAAATTTAAGAATTCATATTAGAAAACACAAGACTCATGCCAGGCAGTGGTGACTGTGAGCCATGATAGGTACTGGGAATCAAACCTGGGTCCTCTGAAAGAGAACCAGTCTTCATACCCTTAAGCCATCTCTGTTGTAGGCCAGAGAATAGTTTTTTTTAAGATCTTGTCTCCAAAAATGAAACAAAAATAGAACTAAATACACAAAATACCATATCTTTATTATTATTCCTATTATTGAATACTAAATATATGTCCTTTCACTAGAAATAGCAACTTTTTCTCTAGAGAGAAGGCTGGCCTCTAATGCTCAATGCCCCTGCCTTAGCTTCGGTATGCTGGGATTGTAGGCAAGCATCACCATGGCCACCTAGGAACACATTTCACCATGACACCAGTGGCATTCACGCCGTCAGACCTCTGATAAACACAGATGATAGTGGTGACAAAAGGGAGCAACAATGAAAGCCCTGCCAGGACAAGGTGGCCCAGAGCTGGCACCATGGCACTGGGACACACAGACAGACAGGAGAACTGGTCTATACAGTGAGTTCTGAGCCAGCCTGCACTGCTACTAAGACTCTTTCTCAAAAGTCAATCCATCAATCAATAAAGATGAGTGACTGTCACCTGCTTCAATGCCACCCATCAATTTCTAGTTGTTTTCTACCCCCTGATTACAACAAGAATAAATAGGAATAGTGGACCAAGAAATGTATAGACAAGAATAATGCCTGGTGGGGAGGCTAACAAAGACTAGGAAATCCTCACATGAACACTTTGTCTTCGCTCCTAAAATACCATCTACTCTTCCACCCAGCACCCAGCTTGTGACATAAATCCCACATGAGAAGAGTCCTCTTACCTGAGACAGAATAGACACAGAGCTTCCGGGGGTGCAGCACAGCCAAATGAAGCACCTCGGTCCCTCTGTGAACGAGACAGTTTCAAAAGCTTTTACATATTAGTTTCAGATAGAACCTCAAAGTCACAAATTATTTTCAAAAAAGTCTCATAACTACAGCTACAAGATAATAGAACAATTCACAAACATAAGTCTAAGCTGAGAAATAATCATGCCAGTGGGCACCTGCCTCTGATTTAAGCCACTCAGAAGGCTGAGTTAGGGTAGCCAGCATCTCCCCAGAGCCAGCCAGGTCTACAGAGGGACATAAATGGGAGAGGAAGAAGGGGAGATGGCAGGCATGGTGGACACAACTTTAATTACAGCACTGAGGGCAGATGCAGGCAGATCTCTGTGAGTTTGGAACCGATCTACGTAGTGAATTCCAGCTGGTACTACATAGCAAGACCTGTCTCAAAAAAAAAGTAAGGACAGGGGTATGAAAGAGGAGAGGGCTGACAGAAGAAGAGACCAAACTCAGGGCCCTAAAAACTCAAGCCTGAGCCTCTGTAAATCCACTGCACAGCAAACTCCAAGCTCTGCTTCTGCCTTCTGACCAACTCACCTGGCTCTTTTTCTTTTATACTGTGGAATGGGGTTGGGGAAGGGAGATACACAAACTGTTAACCCTGGGGTGCCTGGTGGTTCTCCTTCTCCGGGCCACCACTGCCTGCTTACAGTTCTCTGAGCAGAGGAGGACTTTCTCCCCTCCACATTAGGATGTATATCGATATTGTCATTGCTCAGCGTTGGGCACAAAGGTCCTGTGGTCACAGACAAGCACTATGGGAACCCGGAATGTTAAACACCCAGGGTTGTCTCTTTAAAGATGATGGATGGATGAATGGATGGATGGATGGATGGATGATCTGGTTCCCACCCAGAAGGCTGGGGTGGATGGGGTTAATAGCCTAGGTAGTTGGCTAGGTTTCTAGCACCAGGCATGATTTCGCTCCTGTCAGTGGGCATTAAGTGCAATTAGATAGCTACTTGTTACCACCAAGACATGAGTGCTGCAGCTCCACCTTTAGGGGTATTTTGCAGTGCTAGTCAGTAGTTCACAGATGTCATAGCAGGTAGGTCTATTAACTACACCCCTTGCTTGGCAACTCACAGCACTTTCTGGTCCCATGCAAGTTAGACCACAGGAAGGGGACTCTCAGGTTAGGATCCAGGCCTCAAGTTGGATCTCTGGCTTTTTGAAATCAGCATATAGTAATTACATGCAATGGTGGACTTTATTATGTTGTTCCCAGGATGGGTATAAGGCAACCTGCTCACCCTCCCTCCGCTGCTGCCATCTCCTTCCCATTGGTCCCATTTCTAGTCATAATTCTCTTTTAAATTTTGGAGTTTCCATTCTTTTGTTTCCTTTGAGAAAACAAAGCGTTTTTGAGACAGGTTATCTCCATGTGGTCCAGGCTAGCCCCATACTCAAAGCATTCCCCCCTCAACCCTTCCCATGCTGGGATTACAGGTGGCATCACCACACTCAGATCACAGTATTTTTAAAAGACCAAGAAATATAGGTTTTCTGGATGTGCTGGCTACTTTTCTGTTGCTGTGATAAAATGCCATGACCAAAAGCTACTTAAGGAAGTGGAGGACAGTTCCAGGGGACTAGCTGTTTGCAATAACAGGGAAAGCATGTCAGGGAGAGCCAGAAGTTGAGAGAGCACATCTCAGCCACACACAGGAATCAGAGAGAACAAGTAGAAGAGTGTGAGCTGTAAACGCTCAGAGCCCACCAGCAGGCTCCCCCCAGAGGCTTTACATCCCAATGCTCCATAACTCCCCCAAACAGTGCCGCCTCCAGGCCTCAGATACAGGCTCCTACAGGCGACACTGCTCACTCAAAGCACCACAGTGGGCATGTGACACACACCTGTAATGCCAGTACTACAGAGGCTGAGGCAGGAGGATTGCAAGTCATAAGTCAACCCCAGCTTGAACTATATCAAAAATAAAATAAAATAAAATAAAATAAAATAAAATAATCAACAAAGAAAGAAAGGGGAAGAAGGGCAGGAGGGAAAGAGAAAGGGAAAACGGACTTTTCGTTTTAAGATAATTCATGCATAGCAGGAAGCTAAGGTGGTAGGAACGCAAATTTGAGATCAAACTGAACTATATAGCAAATTCCAGGTGGGATGCATAGTAAAATCCTGTCAAGAAAGAAAAAGAAGAGAAAAACAGAAAGAAAAAAAGAAAGGAAGGAAGGAGAGAGAGAGAGAGAAAGAGGGGGGTTGAATATGCTTATTCCAGGGAGTGGCACTATTAGGAGGTGTGGCCTTGTTGGAGTAAGTGTGTCACTGTGGGTGTGGGTTTTGAGACCCTCATCCTAGCTGCCTGGAAGTCAGCCTTCTAGCAGCCTTCGTTTTGTTTTGTTTTGTTTTGTTTTGTTTTGTTTTGTTTTGTTTTGTTTTGTTGTTTTGTTTTTCAAGACAGGGTTTCTCTGTGTAGTTCTGGCTGTCCTGGAACTCACTCTGTAGACCAGGCTGGCCTCGAACTCAGAAATCCGCCTGTCTCTGCCTCTCAAGTGCTGGGATTAAAGGTGTGTGCCACCACTGCCTGGCAAAGTTTGTTTTGTTTTGTTTTTAATTTTGTTTTGTTTTAATTCTAGCAGCCTTCAAATGAAAATGTAGAACTCTCAGCTCCTTCAGCCCAATGCCTGTCTGGACACTGTCATGCTCCCATCTTGATGATAATGGACTGAACCCCTGAACCTGTAAGCCAGCCCCAATTAAATGTTGTTCTTATTAGAGTTGCCTTGGTCATGGTGTCTGTTCACAGCAGTAAAACCCTAAGACAGACAGACCAACTGACTGACTTAGAGAAAGGGAGGGAGAAAGAAAAAGAAAAGAAAAAAGAGAAGAGAAGAAAAGGGAAGGGGGAGGGGAAGGGAAGGGAAAAGAAGGGAAGGGAGACAGAAATCTAGAAAGGAAGTTCTTAAAGAAAGGGAGGGAGGAAAGGAAAGACAGGGTAGGGAGATTCAGAGATAAGGAGGGGTGGTAGAGAAGAAGAAAAAGAAGAGGAAAAAGAGGAAGAGGAGGAAGAAGAGGAGGAGGAAGAGGAGGGGGAAGAGGAGGGGGAGAAGAGGAAGAAGAATGAACTTTGAAGCAGATTTCTTTTAGGACAGGACCTTTCTATTTGAACCTTTGTTCTGTTTATTAAGCAGATACTTACCTGACTCCAGTAAAGTGTTCTTTAATAAATAAATATTTTCTTTTTCTTTATTTGGCTTTGTTTATAAGCTTATCTCTTTGTCCTGGTGCTGTAATATGTCTAATATCTCAAGTCCCATTACTATAAAAGTGTTCTCAGTATTGAAGTGAGCTTGCTGAGCAATCATAAGGACCACCCTTCCGATCTCAGCACCCTTACAACACATGAGGCATCCCTTACAACCTGTAAACCCAGCTCCAATGAGGGCAGAAACAGGACTGTACTGGGACTTTCTGGATACCCTAGACAGAAAACTGTGAGCCCCAGGTTAAGGTTCACTCTCTCAAAGGAAAAGGAGGCAGAGTGTGCACCTGTGCATACACACATGTACACGCACTCACACAGATACAAATGCACAAGTAAACCCCTAAGTTAGCACATCTTAGATGTACATGTTTCTACATAAAGGGTTTAGAGCATAAAGTTTCCCTGCATGACATATATCTATAACATACATAGTTCATGAAATATTTTTTACATCCATGAAAGCGTCATTATAAGAGACAGATCTAGTCCCCAGGAGGGAAATGCCCACAGTAAGCTCTACTCACGAGACAAACTTCCCAACTTCCACCTGCAGCACTGGGTCCCGCAGATGCACTTCTAGAAGTAAATCTTCAGCCTGAGGGCCTCCGGTTTTAACAGAATGGGGATTAAAGATTCTCAGGTATCCCATGAAGCTACCCACAATGATTTTATCTGTAAAAAGATTTAGAAAACACAGAGTAAGTAACAGACATTGGCAAAAATCATCGACAATCAACTTTCCGAAGACTAAAGGAGCCAGAATATTCAAAGATTCTAACCTTGCTTCGAACACCAAAGTCACTTCTTCAACAGATGATGTGGTTAAGGTAATCCTACTTGAGTCACACGTACCCTATCAAAGAACAGCTCTACACCACTAAAAGTCAAGGAAACTAGGAAATTAGAGCATGTTTTTCTTAAGCATCAACTAGTATCCATCATAATTTAACTCAGTGAAAGCAAGTCACTGTCTCAAAAGACTGGTAAAGACTACAAACCGGTTTTATCATGGAATGTTAATCCTGTACTTGATTCTGACTGTCGAAGGTACTCTAAGTGGGATGCTGGGATCTCACTAGAATGCCCCCATAACAGTGAATGGTCTTGGTTACAACAGGGTGAACAGGATGAACGGGGTGAAGGAAAGGATGTGTGCAGGAATTTAAACTGTGTCTCCCAAAATCATGTGTTCAAATCCTTGCTTCAGGTATGTGCTCTAGTTTGGAAAGTCTTTGCAGATAGAACCAAGCTAAAATGAGGCTATGACTGTCCTTTATGGGAAAAGGCAAGGGGAATCCAAATGCCAGACTATGACACAAGCAGACAATGTGAGCTTACACAGGCACGGGATCCTAGGCCCTTAGGAAGCTGCCTTAGGTTCTTCTCTACTGCCTCTGACCAAGGAAGCTTATCAAAGAAAATTTTTGTTTTGGGACTTATGGGTGCAAAGTCATGACCCCCTTGGCAGGGTGCACGGCAGCAGGCATGGTGGAAGGCACAGCGGCAGGCATGGCGGCAGGCATGACAGGATGCACGGCAGCAGACATGGAGGCAGGCAAGCAAGCATGGTGCTGGAGTGGTGACTAAGTGCTGTCTTACATACTCTCCCAAAGGTAGAAGGGAAGGAGAGAGACAGAGACAGACGAACAGACAAAGACGGAGAGAGAGAACTGAAATGATGTGGGTTTTGAAACCTCAAAGCCCACTCACAGGGACACACTTCTTCCAACAGGGCCACTTGCTAATAATTCTCAAATAATTCCAACCAACTGGGGATCAAGAATTCAAATATATGAGCCTATGAGGGCCACTCTCATTTAAACTACAACAGAAGCTGAGGCTAGAACTAGAGGCTATCTTGAGCTATACTGTGAGCTCAAGTCCAGCCTAGGCTAGTGAAGGTAAGCCAAGGTTAGGAGACATCCATCTAACAATACTGCCAGAAATTGGAAGGACACATCTACAAACCAGAGTGTGCAGAATTACTGGAAAATTAGAAGAAATAGAGAAGGATCCTAGAAGCTTCAGAAAAACTAGAAAGCGATGCTAAAGAGACGGCCCAGAAGTTAACAGCACTTACAACTCTTGCATAAGTAAGTGCTGGATTCCATTCCCAGCACTCACATGATGGCTCAAAACCACCTGCAACTCCAGTCCCTGGTTATCTGATGCCCCCTTCTGGTCACCATGGAGTACTGCAACATATGGTACATATAACTTACACCAACACATATAATATACACATTAAATAAATTAATTAAATGAATTAAATCATAAAAAATTAACTCTTTAAAAATAATACTAGCCAGGCAGTGGTGGTGCATGCCTTTAATCCCAGCACTTGGGAGGCAGAGGCAGGAGGATTTCTGAGTTCGAGGCCAGCCTGGTCTACAGAGTGAGTTCCAAGACAGCCAGGACTATACAGAGAAACCCTGTCTCAAAAATCCAAATAATAATAATAATAATAATAATAATAATAATAATAGAAGAGACAAAAGAATGCTAGAAACCTGAGAAATAGCATGGCCCTGACAACACCTTGCTTTCCAGAGCTTAGCATCTGTGACAGCATAAGCTGCTGCCATTTTCAGACATTGAAGTGATGTTCATTATAATGATGCTAAGAAACAAATCCTCATTAGTTGGGAGGAGGTCTACATTTGCTTTACTAACTGTCTACAGTGCCGGGACATTGACTAGACAGTTTCCATAGACTAACTCTTTAAATCCGCAGCAATCCTCTCCAGGAAAGGCACTCCCATGGTGATTTCAGTCCTAAGGAGACATAAAGCCACCAGGGCCCTATGGCAGCATCCTGGAGATCTGACACTCCTTTTTACTTAAATTTACCATGACGTCATATTACTTGTAGCAAAAGATAAAAAGGTTAATGTAGAAGTTAACACAGAGAGTAAGCTGTGAGCATGAGTCCCCCTATAAGGAGGACATCTGACTCCTTCTGATGTGCTGGAGCACCACGTTGTAAAGCTCCTGCCCCTGCTCTAGGTGGGTTTATGGAGCACATCGCTCCAAGAAAGAGAACAGATAAACTATCACAACCTGTCATCCGACCTGGTGCTCTGTCCTAAACTGCTTCTGTTGGTGCAATAAAACACTGACCAAAACCATGTACAGAAGGAAAGGGTTTGTTAGGCTTAAAGGTTAGTCTGTCAATGCCATGAGTTGGGAAACGAACTGGGAATGAGGAAGCAGAAGCAGAGGCCACAGAAGAACATGCTCCTCCATGGCTGGCTCAGTCTGCTTACAGCCCAGGACCACCTGCCCAAGGATAGCACCACCCACAGTACGCTGGGGGCTCTAACACCAATCATTAATCAATGCCCCCAGATGCACCTCCCAGGACACTCTGATAGAGGCAACTCCTGAATTGTGATTCTCTCACCAGAGGTGACTGTGGTTTGTATCAAGTTGACAGAAGCCAGCACATGCCCATTGCCCATAACATCCTGGTGAACTAGACATCTGCTGCCACCAGCTACCCAGACAGAAAGGAGAAATGACAACATATGTAAGTCGGCCTAGTGCCCATAGAGACAGAAAATGGCATCAAATTTCCTGGAACTGAAGCTACAGACAATTGTGAGCTCCCAGATGGGTGCTGGGAATTGAATCCGGTCCTCTGGAAAAGCATTGCGTAAATATAACTTTTATTCACCTGATGTAATTGTCATCTCCAAAGTTTACTGCCTCCATTGGCTAACCTAGGCCTAGTGCTGAAAGCTTCTAGCCTCCATACAATCAAATCTAGACCTAGAATGTTTTCAGCCTCTGAGACTTACTGCTGAATAAGTTCATCCCTTCCTAGTTCTTTCTGGTCCCTAGCTGACTGGTTCAACTCAGCTGTTTTGGCTCAAACTCCACTCCAAGCTGACTGATTCAATCTGGCTTCTCTCAGTTTCTCACTGAATTGTTCTGCTTGGCCTCAAACTAACTTTGGCAATCTGTTATAATCTCCTAGCTCCTTCTCATTCTCTGCCACATTCTGTCTTCACCTGTGTCTAGTTTGTTTCTGTAAAACTCTCCTGCTAAAACTGCTAGCTCGCTCGCTCGCTCTCTCTCTCTCTCTCTCTCTCCCCCCTCCACTGCTCTCTCTTAAGTGGCTTCCCTTTCCTCTCTCTTCTCATGGGAGTTGGGCATATCCTATTCTGTCAAATCTTTCTCTGGTTCGTCACCTTTTCTGCCGCTCTATTAGACATCACTTTTAAACACAAGTGCTTCCCTCTACAAACTAACTTGACCTTCATTGAGATTAAAGATTTATATTAAGAGCATGTCTATATTCCAGTCAGAGGAATCAAAGGTGTGTACTGTACTAAGGGATGAACCACATGCTACAACTAGAAACAGGTTTTTTTCCCAGTAAATAACACAATCTCTGGGTTGACAGTGTGATCAAATACCCTGCAACAGCACTATGTGCTCTTAACTACTGGGTCACCTCTCCTGCCCCTAAGCTGAACTGTCCTAGAATTCTTCTCTAACAGACTGAAGGTGACCTGAATGAGAACAGTTCCCAGAGGCTCACAGATTTGAAGGATAGGTCACAAGGGAGTGACACTGTTTGAAACAGTTAGGAGAGATGGCCTTATTGAAGAAAGTGTGACACTGGAGATGGTCTTCGAGGTTTCAAAAGCCTAAGCCAGGCCCAGGCCTTTCTCTTCCCACTGCCTGAGGATCTGAAAGAGGAACTCTCAGCTATTCCTCCAGCACCATGTCTGCCTGCAAGCTGTCATGCTTCTGGCCAGGATGATGTGCTCTAACCCACTGAAACTGTCAACAAACCCAAACTAAATGCTTTCTTTTGTAAGAATTGACATGGTCATGGTGTCTCTTCACAGCAACAGAACAGTAAGACAGGGACTTCCACAGATGCACTTGGAAAAAGCAAAAACCCAAGTTCTGCGAGAATCCTGAATACTTGCTTTGAATTCTACTAATTCCAGAGGGTCAGAAAGACAGCAGCCCAGAGGATGAACTGATAAAGCAGCTGTCTTTAAAGAGATCTGATAAAGAGGACTGGTGGAGATGGGATGGAGTACAGGGGTGAAAAGGCTGGTCAGATCTAAACAGGCATGGGAACTTTCTATCTTGTCCTCTTGTCTTTGCCACAGTGGGGAAATCTCTAGGCTATGCATTGTCCTCAGTCTTTCTTACTTTGGCTTTTTATAGCAGGTTTTCTTAAAGAGCCATGGTCTTTCCACCTCCACCCCGTTACCCCCTCACTCCCTGCATATCTAGAAGTGAATGCTCACCTACCCTCAGCGAGAACACTACCGGCAGCTGGAGACATCTCTCCAGCTGTGACTGTTCTTACAAAGGAGCCCAGCCTGGTTCTCAGCATCCATGTTAGGTCACTCACAGCTAAGCACCTGAAAATCTCACTGCAGAAGACCCAGCACCTGGGCTCTGCAGCCACCTGCACTCACACAGAGATGGACACGTGAAGTTTTTTAATCTTTTAAAAAATCTATCTTTTTTTTTTTTTTTTTGCATAGAACACTAATGAGCCACTTGCTTGTAAATGATTGAGAACCTTTCATTCCTCTTGTCATTAAAAACTCTGCCTCTAAGCTGGGCTGTAGCTTAGTTAGCAAAGTGTTTGTCAAGCATGGTCTTAAAGGGGATCCATCCCCAGCATCGTGTAAAAGTAGGCACAGTGGCATATAGTGGTAATCCCAACACTTGGGAGCTGGTGGCAGAAGGATCAGAACTCCAGGGTCAGGCTCAGCTACAATGTGAGGTGAAGAAGAGTCTGGGCTATATGAGACCCTTTATAAACAAATAAGCCTACCTTGCTTCCCAGAAACCAGCCTAGCTGTTTCCTCTGACTCTCTGGAAGGCCTCTCAAAATCTGTTTCTGACTACTTCCCAAACTGCGCCGTTTACTACTTGCAGTCTCCAAGTTACGGTCTGACACCTCCTTCCCTCTCACTCCACTGTCTGTCTCTCCGTGTGTCTTCACACATTCTAAGCACTTATTTCCAAACCTCCGAGATACTGTTATCCTAAAAAGACCATATCTCAAACTGTTTACATCAGCCCCTTCCTCCCTCAGATCGACAGAGACTGTCCAGCTTTATAGAAGGCCGTGCAACTTCTGAGCACTCACAGTGCAGACACCTGAGCCAACACCCCCATGCATTCCCAGAGAATAGCACTACACAGGCTCTCCATCTGGAACAGACAATCTTCATATATGATAATCACTCCCGGACAGCTATCCAGCTCTGGGAAATGAGAATCATTGGTTTTGTCTATTTGGCAGACAATATGTAATGACATTTATACAGCACAGATTAGGAAGACAGAGGCTAGTGCTCACAACTAGCACCCAGGATGGACCCTAACAGAAATAAGAAAGAGCAACATATTTCAGAAGTATAGTTTTCACCCGAGCTGAGCTTTGAACACTTTAGACAGGGGTGAGCTTCAGCATGTCACCTGGGTAGATGTCTTCATGACTCTCATGTGAACAAGTAAGAGGGAAACCATACGCTTCCAAGAGTCATGCCGGATGATCACTGAGCTCCCAGGGCGGCCTCTGAACAGAGGCCTACCCAGCTTTACAGTAGGAGGGAGGGACTGGATTCTTCTCAAAAATAAATAAGATGACACTTCTGTACTTGAAGACCTTATGCTGGACCTCCTCTTCCTCCTCCTCCCCTTTCTCTTCTTCCTCCTCCTCTTCCCTTCCTCTTCCCAGTCCTCTCTCTTGCTTCCTTTGCAAATGTAACTTTCTCTTTCCACCCCGCCCCTTGCTAACACATTTTCATTACAGGTAATAGAAATAAATAGGAAAGGAGTAATATTCATATCAGCAAATTAAATGTTCTTTCTTGGAGGCCAATGATTATCTGAATTGCAAAATAAAAGCTTGTGATATACTAGTTATTCAAACATAGTACTAATTTCATACTGTAACTATATAGAACTAGACCCTTTTTAAAACTTGAAACACATGACTATGCAGAGAAGCAAGCAATGTAAGGCTAGGACAGTAGCTGGTCTCTCTCAAACAGAATGAAAGCAATGGCGTACCGACTGTGTCTTCTCAGTAGCAGAATCCTCGTGGTTTTATCATGGCATTAATGCTCTCAGAATCAACTAGAAGAGTGCATCATTTCATTGTAAATGATCTCTAAGAGGAGTTTTCAAATTATTAAATATTTTACTAACTCTACCCTAGAAGACCCCATTTGGTAGCATACCGAGTGGTGTCATGTGAATTGTCCACTAATTCTACCAAGTAATACAACGGCATGAACAAAGCCCACGTGATATAAGTAAAACAGAGGTAAGAACACATCTGCCAGCCTGCCTTATACATGTTACTTGTAAGAGAAATATCAGATATAGTGGCACACACTTGTAACCCCAAACCCAGGAGGACCAGAGTGAGATCCACCCAGCCTGGACTACACAGAAGGAGGATGAAGTTAGATATGTTCAACCCTGGGTTATACTTAGGACAGTTTAGTCGTGTTCTCTTAAGTTCATGCTTTTAAAACTGAGTCATTCTTACTTACTGTCTTTAATGCTCAGCTCCATTGGGGAGGTGCAGACTAAAGCCCAGGATCAGAAAACCTCTTTGGCATGTGTGAGGCCCTGAGGTCAACCCCCACACTGGGACAACAAAAGTACCCCACAAGTTCCTCACCTTGTCCGTTTCCACTGTTGTCGACATCAGCCAAGCACAAGCAGCCCTGATCAAATTCCTCTTTTTCTCCCAGCACAGTAGACCACCAGTCACGGGCCTTAAACAAGGACATTTCCTTTCAATCTAAAAATAAAACATTTGTATATAATAAAAAATTAACCTTATAAAAAGAAGTCAAATTATCCCATTTGCAGATGACATGATTCTATTTTTAAAAGACTCTACGTAATCTACTAGAGAATTCTTAGATGTAGAAACATGGTAAAGCTACAAGATTCAAAATCAATATAGCCTTCATATATACCAGAAAGAAATTAGGAAAACTAACCTATTCATAACAACTCCCCAAAATGTCAAGTACCTGTGGGCAATGGAGATGGCTTGGCAGATGAGAACGCATCTTCATCTTCCAGAGGGCCTGAGTCTGAATCCCAGCACTCACAATGAGTGGCTAAAACTCCCTCAACTCCAAGGCCTGGATATCTGATACCCTGGCCTTCAGTGGCACTGGACTCAAGTGAGGAACCCACATACAGACATACACACATATTTAAAATAATAGTGATAAGATAAATTACTTTAAATATTAAGTACCTGCAAAGAGACTTAAGCAACAAACTGAAACATCAAGACTGAAAAAGGGAATCAAAGATGCCAGATGACAGAAAGATCTTCTGTATTCTTGAGTTAACAGAATTAATATTACAACATGGATATACCACCAAAAGCAATCTGCAAGCTTAATGTAATGCTTATCAAAATTCCAATGTTATACATTGCAGATCTAGAAAAAAACAATCCAAGTATCACAAATAGCCAAAGTAATCCTCAGTGATAAGAACACACTGGAGGTTCTCAAAACCCAACCCCAAATTATACAGTGATACCAACAGCCTTGTGCTGGTGCAAGAAGACAGGCAGAGCATATGGAACCACATATAGACCAACAAAACTATGACCTCCTAGCTTTTGACAAATGAGGCAAAACGTGCAGTAGAAAAAAAAGATCATGTTCAACAAATAGCGAGGGCAAAACTGGATATCCTCTGAAGGATCAAGTAAACCCATAGCTTTCACCTTGGACAAAAATCAACTCAAAAATATATCAAAGACCTTAGCTTAGAGCCTGAAATGCTGAAACTGACAGAGAAGAACGGAAAGAATGTTCTTCAAGACACTGAGGTATCTCAGGCCTCAACAGAGAAGCTGCTTCTTGCAGTGGATGGGAATCAGCACAGAGACCCGCAGCTGCACAGCGTGCAGGGAGGGAGAGGCTTTGGAACACTCTGTCCTAAATGGGTTGTCTCCATCAAATCCTTCCCTCAGGGCTCAGGGATCTATCAGAGAGAAGAGGCAGAAAGATAACAAGAGCCAGAGGTGATGGGTGACAAGAAACAGTGTCTTCCAGACACCTCAGAGCTGACAAACACAAGAACTCACTGAGACTGGCAGCGTACAAGACCTTCACACGAGGTCGCTCACACAGAGTCCTGGCATTGAGAAGAAGATATAAACACAGGATTCCACCCCTAACAGAGGACCTAGCTGAAAGTCACACCCAGCTGCAGAGGAATGGAGTCCAGTTATACTAATGGCACTTCAGGGCAGGCCTCATGCCCAGGAGAAGTTGGCCAAGTTAACTTGATGGTATTTTTTGGATTTTTTCTTTTTAATTTCACTGTGCTTTGCTTGGGCATTTTTTTTTTTGGCTTACTGATCTTTTGCTTGTTTGTTTTGATTACTATATTTGTGGGTTTTGTGAGGATTTTTGAGTGTGTATTTCTTGATTCTTTGTCTTTTAAGAGGGAGAAAAAATATAAAGTAAGTTGGGTAGGAAGGTACAGAGGATCTGGAAGAAAGGGGGATGGGAAAAACATGGCCAAAATATATAGTGTAAAATTTTTTCAGAAAAAAAACTAAACTATACACACACACACACACACAATAAACTACAATTTACAAGGCCACTGAGGTAAAAGACCCTGGAGTAGGGCAGAACGTTCTGAATGGAACGTCAATGGCACGGAATCCAATCCACTCTCCACAGATGGAAGTTTGTGAAATATAAAGTTTCTGAACAGCAAAGACAACTAGCATCAGAGCACACAGTCCACAGAAGGGGAGAAAATCTTTACACTTGTGCTTCAGACAGGGGACTAACTTACAGAATTTACAAAGAACTATAGAAATTAAATACCAAGGAAATAAAACTGATAGCCAGCAAATGTGTTAATGAAATGAACAGTATACCAAAAATGGAAACACAGATGGCTGATAACTATTAACTTTTGAAATTTTTTATTTTTTTTTAAATGCACACATAAAGCAGACTTTTTTTCACGCCAGCACATGGTATGTGACGTTCTCCAGTTTGCTCAATGCCTTAAATGTTCAGCGAGGCCTCACTTTTACTGTACATGGACCTGAAGCATCCTAGCTTTTAGCAGGCAGGGAGAAGACACACTAGAAAATCAAAATTGGAACAGCAGGCTAAATGCAGGGCACATTTGTAAACTCATTTCACATTTGAAAATTACAATGTCAGTAAAAAGTGACAAGAATTTGGGACTGAGATGACTGAAGTGGGCCAACCACAAGTTTCTGAACCTGTACTGATAAATTCTATTGCTGCTGCTGCTGTTTTATTACTATGCATAAAGAACTCTGTATATAGCAAGTGGAATTGACAATCTATGCATATACCTTTTAAAAATCTAAGCTGGGCAGAAAACCAGACTAAAAAGTGTCTTTCTCTATGGTGAACCCGGCAGCTTTTTTTAATGAACTATTTGTTAAAGCCTGAAATAACTAATAAGACTACAAGAGCTGTCCATACTGCACTGCTCAAAACTGGAGATTTCTTAGGAAAGGAATAGGATACAAAGTAACCAGTTTCCCCAAAATGTGTAAGGCTCAGCTCTACCTGCCTGTGACTCTGTAAGTGGCCTGTTCTTGTCTACTGACACAAGTTTACACTAATTCCTCTATGCATGCATGCATGTGATGTGATGCTAGTCAAGCCAGAGGACTAATGTCACAAGCATCACCTGGACTCTTCCTTCCTACGCACAGAGAGAACACATATTCTCCCTCAGTTCTGATCTACAATGTATAGACACACACACTCCAGTTTTAACCAAGAGTGGTAACTGTGGGTACCTTATAACATTTAGAAAGGAGTTAAGAAGGGATAATATTAGGTGACAGTAAAGAGAGAATGCAGGCAAAGGTCCTGGGTATCATCAAAGAAGACACAGTTTTCCTCTCCCTGTGGTAGATAAGTGAATGACAATACCGTTGACTGTGTGATTCCCTAAGTGAGGACACAGGCTTCGGCTCGGCCGTCCTATTTGCTGACTCAGTGTATTCACCAGATGGACAGGGTTCAAGGCTATTTGAGCGTCTACCTTAATCACACTACGTGATGTCTTTATTTGTGAATTAATTATAATCAAATGACTTTTAAAACTAAAGACCTTTAATTTAAAGTCTTGGGTTTTTTTGGTTGCTATTGCTGTCGTCTTTCAAGACAGAATTTGGTGTATCCCATGCTAACCTTGAACTCCTGATCTTGTGCCTCTAACATTCAAAGTGCATGGATTATAGTCACCACACCCTGCTGAAATTAATTCTCCCCTAACACATAGCAATTCAACTCCCATAGCTTTGAGATTCATGTTTGCAGTTAACTTTCACTCTCTGTGTTACGTACACAAGCATGAAACCACAGTTCCAAGTGCTTACAAGCCATAAGCAGATACCCTGCAACACCATCATGAATTAGGCTAAGAACCTATATATTCATTTTGAAATGATTCTATTTTCTGAGAACTTTAGGAAGGAATTACACAAAAATGGGGGGAAAACTTTTCTAAATGATCAATATTCAAAATTGAAACGTAGTACTTAGCACAGAAATCTTTTAACAAAATACCTAACTTCCTTTCATGACCAACTGCAACATCCTCTGCACTGGAACTACAGGTACTCAGAGAGCTTCTGCTTCCTCCAGAAAAGGTAAGGTGGAAGAGGAAATTTATCACAGGCAGGAATGCACGTGCACACATGTACACAGACAGACAGACAGACAGACACCAGGAAAACTGGTTTGCAGGTCCATGCACCTAACCATGTGTCCGTAGATAACCACGAGCCTCTGTCTCTTGATTCCCTTCCCAGAATGAGCAGCCCAGCCCCTCCTTCTAAGCTACTCCTGTGAATGCACACTGTATTCTTCAACAGAAATGAAGCAGCATCTACCATGAGATTTTTATACATCCCTCTACTTATTTGTTTAGACAAAGTCTCACGCCATAGCTCAAAGGTGACCTAGCAACTCTCCAGATTCAGCCGCTGAGAACTGGGATTGGAGCACCACACCCAGCTTCTGCATTAATTTCTTATGTGCACGAAACTTCCCTTCACGGTACAGGCGTCAGTGGTACTTAGGGAATACATTTCCTCCTTAACCAGTTCCTTACAGAAGGTCTCCACAGACACTCAGTGCAAATGAGTTGGTTACAGAGCCACCGTTCACAGATGTGGCTTTAGGCACCACATTTCTATGGCTCACTATATAGTGTCACTATGCACTTCTGCACAAAGGCACCTTATTTATATTGATGACTCATTTCTATGGCTCAATATATAGTGTCACTATGCATTTCTGTATAAAGACACCTTTCTTTATATTTTTGACTCATAACCACCAAAAACTCATAACCGTCAAAAGCGATGTAACTCTATTAGCCTGACCACAGTGTTTCTTATCACCAGGATTTTCTCTCAGCTTCCCTGCACTTAGGACCCTTTGTTGGCACTTCAGCAATTACTTCTTTTGTTGTTGTTTTGTCTCATCTTGTCTTGCTTTGCTTTTTTGAAACACAGTCTCATCGTGTAGCCCAGGCTGGCTTTGAATGTTCAATCCCCTGCCTCAGACTTCTGAGTCCTGGGATTGAAAGCATGTACCACCACTAACCACTGCTTATACACAAAACAGGAAATGCCGAGTTGGTGAGAAGTCTCAGCAGGGCTGGCCACCGAGCCTGCTGACCTCAGTTTGATCCCAGGGACTCAGAATGGACGTAGAGAACAGACTCTCACAGCTTGTTCTTGTTGATAGC